AGGGTTGGCGAAAGAGGGGGAGGCCTTCAAGGAGATGGATTAACGGTTGGCGAAAGAGGGGGAGGCCTTCAAGGAGATGGATTAACACGGTGGCTGCGATGATGGGCTCAAGTATAGCAGGGATTGTGGGGCTGGCATGGGATCGGGCAGTGTTTCGTTCTGCTGTGCATGGGGTCACTATGTGTCGGAAACGACTCGACGGCACTTAACAACAACAACCTTGGTCATGTCAGCAGGGATCCTTCCCTGGAGAAGGATGTCATGCTTGGTAAGGTGGAGGGTCGACAAAAGAGGGGAAAGCCTTCAACAAGATGGATTGACCCAGTGGCTACGGCAGTCAGCTCAGGTATAGCAAAGATCATGGAGCTGGCACGGGATCGGTCGGTGTTTTGTTCTGCTGTGCATAGGGTCGCTATGAGTCGGAAATGACTTGATGGCACCTAACAACAGCAACAACAACACTTTGGTTATGTTGTCAGAAGGGACCATTCCCTCAAGAAAGATACCATGCTTGGTAAAGTGGTGGGTCAACGAAAAAGGGGAAGTCCCTCAACAACATGGATTGACGCAGTGGCTGCAACGATAGGCTTAGGTATAGCAAGGATCGTGAGGCTAGTCCAGGACTGGGCATTGTTTCGTTCTCTTTTACATAAGGTTGCTATGGGTCGGAGACAACTCGACAGCGCAACAAGCAGAAGAATTGATGTGTTTGAATTGTGGTTTTGGTGAAGATTATTGAATATATCAAGGACTGCTAGAAGAATGAATAAATCTCTTATGGAGGAAGTACACCAGAATGCTCCTTAGAAGCAACAGTGACCAGACTGTGCTTCTTGTACTTTGATTATGTTATCACAAGGGACCAATCCTTGGAGAAGGATGTCATGCTTGGTAAAGTAGAGTGTCAGCAAAAAGAAGAAGACCCTCAACGAGATGGATTGACATAGTGTTTGCACTGATAGACTTAAATATAGCAACAGTTGGGAAGATGGCATGGGACTGGGGAGTATTTGTTTTCTTTTTTTAAATTTACAAGCAAATTCATTTTCCATAAAGCAGTTCATACACATTTTGTCTCATGACGTTGACTGTAATTCCCCACAGTGTAACAGCTCCCTTGCCACTTCCTCCCCGTATTTACCTCTTCCCTGTGTTCTTTACACCCATGCACTCCCACCCCCTGAGCTGTCTCCTTGTGCAGACATTGTTCTTCTGTTCTCAACTGGGCAGTATTTTGTTCTGTTGTACATGGGGTCACTATGAGTTGGAACCGACTCAACGGCACCTAAGAACAGTGTACCAAATGTAAAACATGTAGCAAAGTGGTATGGTAGCGTCATATATGGCATGTAGTATTCAGTAGATTTTATCATTTCATTTTATACAGAAGCATATTGCCTCCAGAATAAGATGAAATGCTGTTAGTTAGATGTCAGCTGAGCCAATAATTAAGTGCTTATTGTGAGTAAAGGATCTTCTTTCTTCAACAAAGGAAGTAATTAAACTAAAAGCTACTCAGAGATAATCTTTCAAACTGTATCCTGAACTGAGGATAATAAATTATTATAGTTTCTTACTGTCCCCTAATTTCAAGGATCAAAAATTTAGAGTTTGTTTGTTCTTACTGGAAACTCTGTATTTTTTGATCCTGAAAAATCCTCCATAATCTATTATCAAAGGTTAGGTCTTGCAGTTTTCTGGACATGACCCACTTTCTCACTAAAGTTTTCCCAGTGGTCCCAGTCCATAGTGCTTGTTCTGACTTTCGAGAACTGCAGCATTTACAGCATTTAATCATTCATTTGCCAGTATACCTACTCCTCACCTATTGACTCTCTTAGTACCTGACATTTCACATTTATGACAGTTGTAAAAAAATCTACTATTCCACTATTTCATGTATTAATGACATACATCTGCTATTAACAAACACCAGGTTGTGAGGCAAGAGTAATGCTGGTTGTGATGGTTAAGGTTATGTATCAGCTTGATTGGACAATATCCTCAGTGGTTTGGCAGTTATGTAATAATGTTATTTGGCAGTGAAATGGAGATGAAGTTATTCTCCATTTTGTGATATGATGTGGTCATCCTCTATTTTCATGTAACACCAGTTTTTGCATAACAGCCTCATCTTTGGGACCTAACCATGTTGGTAAGTGAGGACTATATATTTTGATAAGTGAGCATGTATATTTTATCTGGAATCATTACTGATCTTTTTATGCTTTAAGTTCACTACCTTAAGAGCCTAGGACTTAAATGCCTATACTTCTTTATTGGCACTGTGTATTTTAGAAGAACAGTGGGCTAAGAGTCCAAAAGAACTGGGTTTGATTTTTCAGGTCATCTGACTACTAGCTTTGTTGCCTCAGCAAATTAAACCCTGTTTCATTGTTTTTAAAGGGGAAATAACAAGGACTTCTTCCCTAAGCTTATTGTGTGGGTTATTTACCCAAATAAATTTAGATTTAGGGTATATTTGGCTCTAAGATGCTTTGTGCCTGGGCAGTAGAGGGATGCCTCCTTTGAGTCTAATGTGTTTCCCATTGATTTAGGATCCTTCCAGGGCCTTGCAGAGTACTTTTAATATACTAGACTCTTGGTAAATGTTGAATGAGTAATGAGAGAATTAAGAGTCCAGGGCTGAAATATATCATTCTTACTCTAAAGGAACTGTCTAGTGGGAGATCAAGAACACAAAAAAACCTCAAACCCACTGCCATCAAATTGATTCTGACTCATAGCCGCCCTTTAGGACAGAGTAGAACTGCCCATTGGGTTTCCAAGGTGGTAGATCTTTACAGAAGCAAACTACCTCAAGGAGTTTGTCCCGTGGAGTGGCTGGTGGGTTCAAACCACCAACCTTTTGTTTAGCAGCTGAATGCCTTAACCACTGTACCTCCAGAACTTCTGGGAGAGTAAAAGTGATAGCAAAATTATTTTTACAGCTGTTGACATATAACAGTTACTCAGTATCTTTTCTAAATGATCAAGACATTGTTTTAGATGGGTATATAGGTTGTCAGTATATGCTTGATGATGGTGGTGTTTTGCCAAATATTTTAATTGACATTAGGGAGTGACCCACTGAGCTGTTATTTATTTGTATGTTTTGGATGCAAATGGCATTCTTCAAAAGTACTGAATTTTATCTGGGCCATTTTTCTCAGACTCAACCCATAGCCCATTGGAAAACCTGTGTCAGTTGCCAGGTGGTCAGGGAAAGTTTGAGAAATAAACATTGTTACACTAACATCTTACTTGGAAAAGTGTGTGACTCCTATCCACGACTGTTAGCTAACTAAGACTGGGGTATCAGTGGTATACTGTGTCTGAAAGCAAGACCAAAGTCTGAAGCCTAATAGAATAGTTGATTCACAAAAACTCATTTGTTGCCTCTTTTTCTCTCTAGACTATAGAATCTAACTGGCGGTGTGGAAGACACAACTTGCAGCGGATTCAGTGTCGCTCTGAAAATAGTAAAGGTGTCTACTGTTTACAGTATGATGACGAAAAAATTATCAGTGGCTTACGAGATAATTCTATTAAGGTGAGTGACTGCATTTTGTGATATTTTTAGAAATCATGGTTATGTGTTAGACACTGTGTGACAATCTCTCCATTTACTCCAGATAGCTTTTTATCTGTGCCACTCAATCTTGGCAGCTCTCCAATGTGGTTCTAAAGAACTAGAGCCAGGGCATTTCCCTATAGCTAACACAAGACCCCTGGATTATATCACTCCTTATCCTACTCTAAGCACATTCACATTCTGTTTTCTGTATTTAGATACAAATAGAAAATATCCTGATATCATAGAATACTTTGCTAGCTGATGAAAGTGTTGTTTGCTTGCCTGTAAATCAAAGTCATTACCTTTTATGGTTTCTGAGAAGGACTTAGATGATAACAAAAGAATGATAGAGCAATCTATATTGTTTTCATTCACCTTTCAGAAGCAGATAAACCATGAATTATTTCTCTATGTTAAAATAATCTCTTTGGTGGCTGAGCTGGCTGGTTTTGTTTTACGTTGTAGCTTATTTTGTCATATTTAAGAAAACATTGAGTGGATTTTAATTTTTTCCTTTTTATTGAAGTGTAATTTACATAGAGGAAAATTCATTCTTTTTTGTTGTGAACTGTGAAAAGTTTCTCTGATTATAAATCTAAAGGATGGTAATAGACATTTTAGGCAAAAATAATTCCCTTCAAACAAGCTTAGAAAATACTGCAGCATACAAAGGCTTTGAGAAGGCCTGCAGTGGAATCACCCAGTTTTTTCCAATTTACTAAACTTATTTGACCATAGAACTCTATTTTTATGTAATACTCACAAATAGCCTTAACCTGTGGCCGCAAATATACTCTAGAAAGACTGACATATGCTACTATTTAATTTTAGTAGTTCTGCTTTAAGGTAAAGATATGAATAGTTTATAATGAGCTTATCAAAGCATAAGCTGGCCCTGGGCTTGCAGTTTACTTACACTGAATGTGTTTCTAAAAGATTCTTTTAATATAAGCACACCTGTGTTTAAATTAGGCTGCTTAGAAGATACAGAAATGATTTGATTTATATATGTACTTTATAAGACATAGAATAGTAGAGCAGAAATCCATTTTAGAGAGATTACCTAATTCAGTGGTTGGAAACCTTCTGTACTTTTGGGTCACTAATCATTCTTTCAGAAAAACTGTATTTTGTATGTAATATTTTTAGAAATCATAGTTATATGTTGTATACCAGATGTGACAATCTCTTTATCTACTCCAGTTTTTTTTTTTTTTTTTTTAATCTGTTCCATTCAATCTAGGCATTTCTCAATGTGGTTATAAAACTAGAGCCAGAACATTTCTCTATAGCTAACACAAGACCCCTGGTCAGAAATTAAAAGCAAGCCTTGCTACTATAGAAAGATACTTAAATGTCTGTAGAACTTGTGGTAATATGTTTGCCATTTGCAATAACCTTCAGGGACACCTACAGATTATGATAGTATTTTTAAGTGAAGAAACAGGTGCAGAGAGTTTATTGTTAACAACCTAATTAAAAAAAAAAAAAAATCAGTTCTCATTTCTCCTTATATAAGGACAATACTGAAATTTGGAAAAGGCAACTGCTGTCCTTAATTCCGTATTATCTCCCTTCCTTCTGTTCTCAATAGATGCCAGTGATCCTTTTAAAATGGAAGTAAATCATGCCAGTTTTCTGCTCTAGACCTTTCATATTTTCTCATCTGACATACAATTAAAATCCCTAGCCTACCTCCACTATACTTGTCTGACCTCAGCACTTTCTCTTTTCCCCTTTCATCACTCAGTTCTAGTCACACTAGCTTGCTTTCTGTTTCTCAAACATATTAATCATGCTCCTGAACATAGGCCATTTCCTTGCCTCCTTCAGACTTTTGCTCAAATGCTTACCAGAAATGCCATCCCTGACCATCCTATATAAATAGAACCCTTTCCATCTCCACTTGGACCCTCTCTGGCCCAACTCCCTTACTGTCATTTATTTGTCGTATGGCACCCACCACCTCTGGTGGCATAGTGCCTAAAGCATTTGACTGCTAACCAGAAGGTTGGCAATTCAAACCCACCAGCCACTCTGTGAAAGGAAGACTGGACAATCTCCTTCCATAAAGATTTACTGCTTCGGAAACCCGAAAAGGGGGTCACTATGTGTAGGAATCAACTAGATGGCAGTGAATGTGGTTTGGTTTTTTTGGTCCCACTCTTTTTAAAAAGTAAATTCCACAAGAGCAGGGGTTTGCTTTTATTTGCTGCCATTTCCCCAGTACCAGAAACAGCACTCGGTAATACAGTTAACTTGAATGAATGAATGGATTGTACATGGTGGTAAGAGAAAAGGAGGATTCCATTTTTTGGCTTGAGCAGCTGGGGAGATGCCATGTACCATATCAGAGAAGATTGCAGCGGTAGGAATCAAAGTGCTGTATTCTGGACATGTGAAGTTTAAGATGCCTAGGAGATAATTCTCCCTGAAGTTTAAAATGCCTAGGAGATACTTCTCCCTTGGGTGAATTCATTCACTCCCCTGGCTTTATTACTGTCTGTATACTACTAATTCCTAAAAGTGTATCTATAACCCAGACCCTTTTTTTGAACTATAGATTACATACTTAACTGTCTACATGTTCTCTCCATGTGATGTCTTACCCAGTCACCTCAAACTCAGAATAGCTAAAGCTGAACTGAAGTCCCATTCTTAACACCAACCCATATTATTCCTCCTCCATTGTCAAATGGAGGAGCTCTGGTGGTGTAGTGCCTAAGGCATTTAACTGCTAACCGGAAGACTGGTGGTTCAAACCCACCAGCCACTCCTCGGAAGGAAGGCTGGCCAATCTACTTCTGTAATGATACTGCCTCAGAAACCCAAGGAGGGGTCGCTTTGAGTCGGATCCAGCTCGACAGCAGTGAGTTTGGTTTTGGTTTATTATCAAACGGCATCATCCACCTTGTTCAGGCTAGAAACCTTGGAGTCTTAACTCTCCTCTGTATATATCTTATATCTAATCACTTACCAAATCCTATAGCTTTTATCTCTTAAATACGGATAGAATGCTATAACTGCTTTCCTTCCATGACTATTGCCACGTCTCCATTTCTGGTATCATCTCCTGCCTGGATATCTATGGTAGTCTTTCAACAACTGTTTTCTCCTTATTCACTCCTGCTTGGCTATAATACAGCATTCACTAAATGCTGATCTGAGATACCTATTCAACATATTTGCAACCACAGAATTTTATTTTATTTTTTTGGTAGCCATCAAAGCATCTAAATCTAAAATACAAAAAAGCAACCAAAATATAATAAAATTATTGAGAAAGTAAAAATGTACAAAAACAACTTACTAAAGTTTTACTTTTAATCATTTTTTTTCTTTTCTAAAAATAAAAACTGATGTCAGTATGTAGACAGTTTTTATTATTATTATTTTTTAAAAGCTTAACACTAATAGAAACATTGTATTTTCTTATTAAAAAGTTTTCATAATTTACTTTGGAATTTTTTTGTAGTGCTGAACATCTCAGTTTTTTTGGGGGGGATAGACAAACAGGATAAATAAAGGGATATGAATTTTTAAAGCCTCTTGATAGATATTGTCAAGTTGTTTTCCAGAGGGTCAACCAACTCTTTTCACAGATCTTATTTTAAAAAGTACCCTTTAGAAAGCTGTTAAGTATAGTGAGTACAGTAGCTGAAAGTGTGAGAAAACAAAATCACAAGTCTATTCTGGCAGTTACTCAGTATTTTCTTTCTTGTCATTTCCTACCTGTGTGATACTTAACTCTTCAAATTTATTTTAACAGAGATACGTTTTTTTTTTTAATTTAGAAAATAAGGTCAGACAGTAATATTTGTCAAAATGTGATATACTAAATTACTGTTTATTTTTAATCTTGTTTTAATAGATTTGGGATAAAACCAGTTTGGAGTGTTTGAAAGTGTTAACAGGACACACAGGCTCTGTCCTTTGTCTCCAGTATGATGAACGTGTCATTGTAACTGGCTCTTCAGACTCTACAGTGAGGTGAGCCTTCATTGATCTGAACTTATATGTCTTGCATGAGGAACTTGAGACTCACACTCTCTTCTGGGATCAACACACACATAACTATCTGTAGTTTTTATAAGCTATATTTCAAAATCACTTCTGTGGGAGATGCATTTGAGCCAAGTAAGCAGGAAGGTTAATTTTGGTTAAGTGGGTCCTATTCCCCACTGTGAGAGTCCCTGGGTGGCAAGTTTAGTGTTGGACTAATGAGCTAAAGGTTGGTGATTCAAACCCACCCAGACGTACCACGGAATACAGGCCTGGTGATCTGCTTCTGAAAGATCACAACTTTAAAAACTCTAAGGAGCAGTTTTACTCTGTACATGTGGGGTCATCGTGGGTTGAAATTGATTTGACAGCAACTAACAGTGATAACATTCCTATTTTTGTACATTAGAAGGCTGAGTCTTGGAGCCTAGAAATCATCGATAACACCTCAGCTAGACTGCTATTGGCTTGGGGGAGGCCTGAAGTGTGGAGGAGAAGGAGAAGCTTCTTCTGGGCTGAGTTAGATACTGAAGAGCAGTGTTTTAAAGGAACATCTAAGAGATTGGAAGAGTCACCCAGTCTGTCCTTGCATTCTCACATTCTCCTCCATTCATACCCCTCCTGTGTTAATTTTTGTTAATGATACCTTGCCACACTCCTGGACTCCTTTTCTACCCTGCCTGGCAGCATGCGTAGTGTACTTTCATTGAGTCAGTGCTCTAGGCAGCTACTTTTGCCACAGATCATGTTTTAGTTTCAGAAGTCTGAGTCTTTCCTTCTCTGCTTTGTGTGAAACTATGTTTTTAGGAGACAGGTTACCAGAAAGCTATGGTGTGAAAGGGCTGTGTCCCAAGAGTGAAGCAGTTGGGAGGTACTGGCTTTGTCCATGAAGAGTTGGGCAAAGAAATAAGTGTAGGGGATTGAGGAGACTACATGGCTTAGTTTGCAATGGATAAATAAAAAATAGGTTCAGAGACTTGGCATATGTACAAAGAACCTTAAGCTTAGAAACTCTAAACCAAACTCCCTGTCATTGAGTCAATTCCAACTCATAGTGACCCCCATTGGGTTTCTGAAGCACTAAATCTTCATGGAAGTAGATTGCCCCATCTTCCTTCTGTGAGCGGCTTGTGGGTTTAAACCACCAACCTTCTGGTTAGCAGTCAAATGCTTTAGGCACTGTGCCACTAGAGTTCCTTTTAAGCTTAGAATGGGCCCCAGTTCTCCAACCTATAAGCCTTCTCCTTCTGAAACTCACTGCAGAGTCCACTCACTCGAGGAATCATCTTTTGCCATCAACACAAGCCTGCAAACACTATCTGTGAATACCTGATTATCAAATAAACTTAAAATCTCAGCAGAGCCAGAATTCACTTTCTTTGAAATAATCTCAGCACTTCTCAGCAAATAAAAATACTGTTTTTAGGGGCTCCTCTTGAACATGTCCCTAAGTGTCGGGTCCTAATCAACCAAACATAGTCTATACCATCTGGCTTACTATTAAGAGTGGGCCCAGAGTTCTGACACTATAGTCTTTTCTTGGCTGTTTTCATAATTAAGCATCTTGTTCTTCTGTCCTCATCTAGAGTCTGGGATGTGAACACGGGTGAAGTTCTGAACACGCTGATCCATCACAATGAGGCTGTATTGCATTTACGCTTCAGCAATGGACTAATGGTGACCTGTTCCAAAGACCGCTCCATCGCTGTGTGGGACATGGCATCTGCCACTGATATCACTTTACGCCGTGTCCTGGTTGGCCATCGTGCTGCTGTCAACGTAGTAGACTTTGATGATAAATACATTGTGTCTGCCTCTGGTGATAGGACCATCAAGGTAAGTGTATCTTCTGCTGTAACCTTGCTTGTTGCTGTCCCTTTTCGAATGGAAAGAAAGCAGAGGTAGCTTACACCAACCTGGTATCTAGCAAGATCTTTATTCTCCTCTGTGTCCATGAGCCCTTGAGACCATCCCACTCCTCATGCTCCCATAGTCATATGGGCAAGATAGGGAAAAGGGTAATGGACCTGCATAGAGAACAGTCCTCTATCCCATGACTTCATTAATAACGTTTTTAAGTGGTTGAGAACTAACATATTGAGCAAGTACTGTGTACTAAGAGCTTTTCATTACCATCTCATTTAACCTCCACAGCACTCTTGTGAGAGAAGTATTGTCTCATGTTACTGATGTGGCCTGGAGAGGTGGAGAACAGTGCTTGAGATTATACAGCTAATTAGGGGTAGAGCTGAGACTGGATTCATTCGTCTAATTAACCTAATTTTGGGAGCCTAGTTTTCCATGCCATAGAGCTCTGGTGGCACAGTGGTTAAAAGGTCAGAGGTTTGAACTTAACGGCTGCTCCATGGGAAAAAGATAAGGTAGTCTGCTTTCCATAAAAATTTATAGCCTTGGAAACTGTGGGGGCAGTTCTGTCTCACAGGGTCTCTGTGAGTTGGAATCATCTCTACGGCAGTGAGTGGGCCGTGCCTCATACCTGAGGTAGCTGTTGGAGATTAAATGATGAATAAGACATGTCACTGCCTCCAGGAAGCTCAACAGTGTGGGGAAGCAGACGCGATGAGCATTTGCAGTCTAGGGTGATCTATAGGATATGGAAAACACGGTTCTGATTGTAATATCCATGTCAAGTTTTTAAATTTTAGCCGCCTTACATTTTTATGACAGCTTTGTTTATATATAATTCACACACCATAATATTCACCCTTTTAAAGTATATAGTTCAGTGGCATTTCGTATATTCACAATTATGTAACCATCCTTACTATCTAATCCAGTACATTTTCATCATCCCTCTCCACCTCCTACTCTCCAGAAAAAAAGAAAAAGAAAAAACTCCATACTCATTAGCATTCACTCATTTTCTTCCCCTAGTCCTTGGCAATTAACCACTAATCTACCTTCTGTCTGTATAGATTTGCCCATTCCAGACATTTCATATACATGGAATTGTACAATATGTGGTCTTTTGTATATGGCTTTTTTAACTGAGCATAAGTTTTCAAGGTTCATCCATGTTGTAGCATGTATCAATACTTCATTCCTTTTTAGGGCTGAAGAATATTCCATTGTATGGATATACCATTTTATTTATTCATTCATCAGTTTATGGACATTTGGGTTGTTTCCACTTTCTGGCTATTATGAATAATGCTGTTAGGAACATTTGAGTATAAGTTTTCGTATTGGCATATGTTTTAAATTCTCTGTATCTGGGAGTGGAATTGCTTAGGTCATATGGTAACTTTGGGAGCTCTGTTGGTGTAGTGACTAAGGCATTTGACTGCTAACCAAAGAGCTGGCAGTTCAAACCTACCAGCCACTCCTTGGAAGGAAGATTGGGCAATCTCTTTCTGTAGAGATACTGCCTCAGAAACCCAAGGAGGAGGGGTCACTATTAGGTGAATCGACTAGATGGCAGTGAGGTTTGTTTTTTTTTTTAAATTGTGATTTGGGTGAAGATTTCCAGAGCAAATTCACTTTCCATACAGCAGTACACATATACTTTGTCTCATGTCATTGACCACAGTTTACCACAATGCAATAGCTCCCCTCCCTCTTCCTCCCCATAGTTAACCTCTTTCCAGTGTCCATCCCTCCATACTCTTCTGCGCCCTGAGCTGTTTCCCTGTGCCTAAGCAGCCCTTCCTTCTCCGATGATTGTTCTCTCCAGGGAGTGTGTCTACTTAAGGTAAATGTTTAACTCATATGCCTGTCTTTTGTTTGGCTGGAAACCACAGGTGTGGGTTCAATTCCAGACCTGAAGGGCAGCTAGGGGCGATAGTCTCAGTGGTTCCACCAGACTCTATCGGACCAGCAAACCTAGTCCCCCTTTTTTTTTTAATGGTAACTTTATGTTTAACATTTTGAGGAACTGCTGAACTATTTTCCAGAGTGACTACCCATTTTACAGTCCCACCAGCAATGTATGAGAGTTCCAGTTTCTGCACATTCTTTGGCAACATTCGGTACTATCTGTCCTTTTGATGTGTTATTGATCATTTGTGTATCTTCTCTGAAGAATTGTCTATTCCAGTCATTGTCCCTTTAAAAAAAATTGTTTATTGTTCAGTTATGAAAGCTTTTTTATACATTCTGGATATGAGTTCCTTGTCAGAAAATATGATTTGCAACTATTTTCACTTTCTTGGACCTCTGTCCTTTCTTTGGTCTGTGTCCTTTGAAGCACAAAAGATTTTAATTTTCATGAAGTCTAATTTATATAACTTTTTTCTTAAGTTGCTTATGGTTTTTTTTAAAAAATGCATTTTATTGAAATATAATTTATGTACAGTGAAATACACAAAACTAAAGTGACATGGGTCAATGCTTTTTTTTTGCAGTGTTTCCCTCCCCTCCCCTCCTATCCTTGGCAACCAACAAAGAAAGTTTCCCTCCCTACATAAACCTTTCCACAACAACGAACTAATACTGTATTTGTCCTTCTGTGATTGATTTATTTTACTCAGCATAATGTCCTCTAAGTTCATCCATATTATGCGGTGTTTTGCAAACTTTAAATTATTCTTCAGTGCTCTATAGCATTCCATTATGTGTGTATGTACCATAGTTTGGTCATCCACTCTTCCGCTATAAATCTTAGAGATAAGCCCTTTGCCAGATATGTAATTATTGGCAAATATGAATTTGTTGCTGTCATTTTTATTATGTGCCTTTTTGTGGTGTCGATTTCTTTGTTCCATATAATTTTCTATGCTGAGCTCATTTTTTTTATGAATCATGTTATCACTTTCTTCATTGCTATTGTTTTAGTATTTGCTGAATATTTATGCAGGTCCTCTTTTTTATTTTGATGTGAAGGTTTATCATTTTTCTTTGAGGTTATCCTGTGATTTATAGTTTTCTTCCCAAGTTTAGAACAGTCTGTTCTATCTTGTAGTTGTCTTAACTTCCCTACCATCTAGAAGTTCTGTAACTTCGCAGTTTTTTCCCTCTTTTTGGTTTGTAGTTGTCCTCATTACTCAATTGATGTCTCTGATTCCCAGTTGCTTATACTTTTATTGTCATATCTGAGAAATCATTGCCTAATCCAAGGTACAAAGATTTACTCCTGTATTGTAAGAATTTTATAGTTTTAGCTGTTACATTTAGGTCTTTGATCAATTTTGGATAAAGTTTTTTAAAAATGGTGTAATGTCCTTCTTTTGCATGGAGATTTCCAGTTGTTCTATTCATGTTAATACAGCTACAAATGCAACTGATAAAATAATTCAGGGCACTCTTTACATCTCCCTATTGTAAAATATTAAGTCTGTGAGTATTAGTGTCTGTGAACATCTAAGTCTTGCAGATGATTTCACAGAAGAAGGGATTATTTGTTACACATATATAGCATTAGGAGTTATGTGTTAAAACAAGTGGAGCTGTTCAAGAAGCCATGCTGTAAAAGAGGAGGATTTGAAAGGTGAATGTTTTTTATATCAACTACATTGGGTTTGACGTGCCTCTTGGCATAAAAATAGAACATGTGGCCCAAACGCTAAGCAAGTGAATGTCTGAACCATCTAGGAGATGGTCTTTTTTTTTTTTTTTTTTTTTAATTTAATTTAATTTTTATTATTTTAAGAGCTTGTTTTACATTCAATGTAACACGTACATTTAGTTTCATTCCCCATTCGCCATGTCCAACCTAACCCAGTCTCCTCCCCTCCTTACCTTGTAACCCTCCCCCTGTGCCCCTCATATTCATGCACTCCTATTTGTCCTGCATTTCCTCAGTTTGAATGTTGGTCCTCTGGTGTCCCATGGTCTATTGCTCTAAGGGATGTATTACCATAGAGTATGTGGGTGCATTATCCTGGGTTGAGTGGTCTGTGTGTACATCTTGTTAACTAGTGGGCTAACAGCTCACCCCTGGGGGTGAGTTTTATTCCAGGTGCAGAATGTATTCCAGGGCCATAGTATTGGGAGTCTCACTAGATTTCATCTGACTAGTAATTCTGGTCATTATTGAGTTTTTGGATTATGTTCCACGTTTTCCCTCCCACTATCCAGGATCTCCAGATTTGATCCTTTCCTGAGTGGTTGGCATTGGTAGCCGGGCACCATCTAGTTCTTCTGGTCTTGAGGGCCATCGTGTCCTAAGGCTGATTGCTTCTAAATGCCTTTTTTTTGGGGGGGGGGGCATTCTTCTTCACTTCTGATGCTAGGAGACTGTTACCTGCATCTTAGATGGCCACTTGAAAGCTTTTAAGACCCCAGTTGCTACTCACCAATGTAGGATGTGGAGCAACACTTTTATGTATTGTGTTGTGCCAATTGAGTCTGGTGTCCCCCAGTACTATGGTCCTGAAGCAGTAGATCTATTGGATCTCTCTCCCATAGTGTCTGGTTGTCTGTGAGGGATTACTCTGTGTCTGTCTTCTATTGTTTCTGTAAGGACTGCATGTATTTTGTATCACTAGTGTCTGTGCAAGATTGGCCTCAGCTGAATCTGTCCTTGGTCTAGTGTATACTTCTGTTCACTGACCCCCATCTGGTCATTTCAGGTATTTATGTATTTATATGTATAGCCTAGTGTTTGGTGTTAATGGCAATGTGGTATTGTGGACACATTGGTTGGTATTGGCATCTGTCATCTGAGATGGCCTCATTTTGAAGATCTCAAGATTCGGAGACTTCATAATTTCCCTCTCTATTTTATTATCACTCAGCAACTAAGAAAATGTTTTGCTGTCTAATCTCTCCCTCAGCTTCCCAGCTTTGAGCTAGAAAAGACTATATTTCATAAACAAATATTTGGGTCATTCTCAGAAGCTCTGATTTTTTTTAAAAAAAGATGTGTTCGGAGAAGAATTTTCTGTATTCATTCTTTTAAAAATCTTGTCAATTTGTTATACAGGTGTGGAGCACAAGTACCTGTGAATTTGTTCGTACTCTGAATGGGCACAAGCGAGGCATTGCCTGTCTCCAGTACAGGGATCGACTGGTTGTTAGTGGATCATCAGATAATACCATTAGGTGGGTAGTTACTGGTGTGCATAAGTGCAGGGTTTTTTCCATCATGTTGACTCATCTCCAAGTCCTAATGCTCAAAAGACTCAGAGTAAATGAGATATTTCAAGTAAGAAAACTTTAGATAACTTTTATCCATCTATTTGGTACTGCAGTACTAAAGAGGAAACTGTGTACACCTGTGTGTTCTTCCAAGATTACTGCAGTACATAGGTTTTGTAATTGCCCCTCCACCGAGGATCACTTAATACCACCTCCAAACACAGGAAGATGCTCCATCCCAACTTGCTCTGCTTGCCTTCCTGCCCTGTGAGCTCTGCCTCCCTCCCTGATAGACGGTTGTGTACTTTATTTATCTCTTCCAGGACTGCATTGCCAAGTCTTTCACTCCTGTTTAGTCATTTAATTTACCTCCTTTTCTCTTCCTCACACTCAGTCTCCTCACTTCCTAATACTTAGGATCATCTTTTAACATCGTATTTCATATTAAAAGTTTCCCTTAGATAACTATTTACTTATTGATAACCCAGTCATTTTCCCACAATCTTAACACATAGTAGTATCTTTATATAAGTAACTGTAACTTTGGGTTTTATAACCAAACAGCCTAATGTATGGGCAAAATAACGACTGGGTTTTTCAGAAGAGAAAAAAGAATGCATACAGCAGGGCGGGGAAAAAAAAGGAAAAAAGAAGTTGAGTCTTGGTTCTGTTATATTCATCATGCTTTGTGATGTTACCTAATATTTCAGCAGTAAATAGTCTTTTACTTCTAAAAGTAAAAAATCTCTAAGATTTTACAAAAATTAATAATGAGTCTTGCTCTACAGTTTATAGATGAGAACCACTTTGGCAGCGAATGGCTCTGTTCACAGAGAGATGATCATCACTGACATGGATTAGATTTGCTTGAGGGTGACTGTGCTTAACATTGAATGTATGAACATCCATTGATGTTCCTGAACATTGATGATGTTCATGATCATGTTCATGATCATCATGATCATTGATGTATGATAGGAGCTACTGGTAGAGGCCAAGAAGAGGTCACTATACATTTAGTTTGCCAACATTGTTTTTCACATGCTAGTAGTTGTGATTTATTTCTGCAAATGTAGCAAAAGCAGTGGAATAGAAAAAAAGAAAAAAAAATCTCCAATTCCAGAATTGTTAATACAAATCATATGCAGAGAGAAAGACTAGATGTAGCTACTAGGATTATATTTCTAAGACCTATACCAAATGAGAGTCTTCTATGCTGATCTTGTAAATTGGACAACCCTACCACCAAGGAAAGGAGATGGAGATATGGAGCCCACCATGCTGGTCCAACAGTTCAAATCACAGTGGACCTCACAGTCCAGGCTAGAAGTGCCTAGGGTAGAAGCCTGACCCCCTGGCTATGTGTATTATTTCCCCACCCCACTGCACCCCACACATGCACATGTTCTTTCTCCTTTACTGCCTGCAGTCCCTATCTCACCAAGAAAAGTCCTTCTTAGCCTATTTGACTACATGGCTTCATCAACTCAGACAAAACCAAAACACTAAACACATTGCCATCAAGTGGAATCAACTCTGTAACACATGGGGTCACCGTGAGTTTGAAATTAGAACTGCTCTATAGGGTTTTCTTTGCTATAATCTTTATAGAAGCATATCTCCAGGCCTTTCTTCCATGGTGTGTTGGGTGGGTTCAAACTGCCTACCTTTCAGTTAATGTTAGAGTGTAAACAGTTTGTACCACCCAAGGACCAGATAGCAAGAAAACCCCTACAGGTTAAATATAATCAAAGCATCTTGTTTGCTAATCTCTGTTACTCAGTAATACATACACATGATTTTAAAAAGCTTCAAACTGTAGAAAGTTTCAAACTGTAAGGCTTCCTCCCAGTTTAGTGCTTAGAAACACACAAGTGCTGCGAATGTATGTATATACCTTTGAATATGTAGTGTGGACTGGGAGTGAGATAAAAATAAAGAATTCTAAGATAGTGAAAATCATGTATGGGATATAATATAAAAGGTTGAGAATGGTGTGAATCTTATGTGGGAAGTTGTTTCTCAGTGATTTGGTTTTCATTCAAGGCTATGGGATATTGAATGTGGTGCCTGTTTAAGAGTCCTAGAGGGGCATGAAGAATTGGTCCGCTGCATCCGGTTTGATAACAAGAGGATTGTCAGTGGGGCCTATGATGGGTATGTGTTTCCAACTTTCAAACACATTGCTATACTTGTTACCAGGAGGAAAGAGAACTGCTATATATTAAGCAGCTATACATAGGCCAGGTCCTATGCTAGGTACTTTCTGTGTAAATGGTGGATGGTGGGTTTTATTATATCCACTTTCCACTTAATCAGGTAAGAACACCTAGGCCCAAACAATGTCCAGAAATCTCAGAGCCACTATGGCTTCTAAGCTTTTATGCATTTGACTGTTAGAAATTTAGGGAATAGGTTAGGCTGTGGGGAATTCAGTTCTTTGCCTTTCAAACCAAAACCAAAGTTAATGCTGTCGAGTCAATTCTGACTCATCGCAACCTCTCCTTGGGTTTCCAAGGCGGTATCTCTAGGAAGTAGGTTGCCGAGTCTTCCTTCCGAGTGGCTGGTGGGTTTGAACTGCCAGCTTTCTGGTTATCAGTCCTAGGCACTACACTACCAGGCTTCTTTGTTTGTGTATGTGTGTGTGTTTGTAACTTAAATGATCAATCTGTTCTTTTCCCCTTTTGGTAAATTGACTAAATCCTCTAAAAAAGCCCCATGACCTTTTAACGGAGCAAATGGCAAATGTAAACCTTTCAAGATGACCTTATATACACCTCACAAATGGTTTAGTTGATCTGTTTATAGTCCTATAATCAACTTTCAGCATTTGCTTAGTTTGGAGAAAGGTATCCTTGGAATTTCACACAGAGCCCTAGCCTCTGTCAGCAGCACCTACTCGGCCCCAGAGACGGCCCTGAGTAATGAATTTGGTGATAAAGATTAACAAGTGAGGAATTGAATTCAGATAAAGAAGTTGTTTTATTATCTCCCTTAAAATAATAATCTTCAGAACTTCAGCAATTCTGAGAATATGTAGGGTCCCCTCTCCCAAATCAAGTGTAATTGGTTCAAATAATTTGTAAAAACTTAAACATGTTCCCCCATTAGCTGGTTTTTTTTTTTTTTTTTGGTGAACATTTTATTGTGGATTTAGTGAAAGCCGTTAGCTTTTGTAATCGGCCATACAAATATACTGTTTTGTGTCAAGTCACTGCAGGTATATTTAACAGTTTAACTTTTCCACTAATTGCAAACTCATTACTTTTCTAGGAAAATTAAAGTTTGGGACTTGCAAGCTGCTCTTGACCCTCGAGCCCCAGCAAGCACGTTGTGTTTGCGTACATTGGTGGTATGTGATCTGTTGAAATAGACATTGGTTCCCTGGGCTGGAGGGTGGCCATCTGTAGCTAGGCTTGCCTGGGTGCATCATAAGATAGCTTGTGTTTCTCACAACATGGCTTCAGAGAGATTCATTGTTCTGTTAATTTTGTTTAACTAATACCAGAGAATAAATACTTGGCATTTACAGTATTGTGAACTCTTTCCCAAAGAGTGCTCTTGCAGTTTAAAATATGAAAGGTGACATTCTCATTTGTAGGTAGATAGAGAGTACACAATCTTCCCTTGATATGGGCTTAGGAGCCTTCTTACTTTGGATCTCTGTGGTTATGTTATAATTTTAGAATACAGTTTTATACTATGATAGAATTTTCCCTAATCTGTATTCTGTGGATTATTGTTTTGGTATATACAAAAAAACCCACTGCTACTGAGTCAATTCTGACTCATAGCAACCCCCACTGAGTTTCTGAGGCAGTAAATCTTTTACAGAAGTAGATTGCCCCATCTGCCTTCTGCAGAGTGGCTAGTGGGTTTGAACTGACAAACTCTGGTTAGCAGTCAGATGCCTTAGGCACTGCACCACCAGAGCTCCTTGCTTTGGTATATAGGATTATATTTATATGTTATTTTATTTATTTATTTTTTAAATAATTTTACTAAACTCATTATTTCTGATAATCTCATTGGTTCTAGTATTTTTGAGATGACTGTCATTTGAAAATATTGGTATATTTGTTTTTTCATTACTGTTACCTTTTGCTATTTCATTGTTGCATTGACTGTTTTTGTTTTCTTGATTTTAATAGGAAGGCTTCTAATCTTTCACCATTAATTTTGATGTTGGCTATAGCTTGATATAGATGTTTTTAATCATGTTTTTTTTTAAAAAAAAAAAACCACTGCCTTACTGGTTCTAGTTTTTACAGTGTATCAAGAGTAGATATTAAATATTGTTTACCTTTTTAAGGTAAGGATCACATAGTTTTCTTTTCTGACATATTAATGAGCCAAGATGCAAACTTTAATACAAGAATAGACCTAGAAGAAAAAGTATTTGCTCAGTAAGTTCTGGAAAATTGTTTAGGAAGCCTGTATTAAAGCTATCCTAAATGGGAGAGATTATGAAGCTTTCATTCATTAAGCTGCTATATTTCATAGGAACATTCTGGACGTGTGTTTCGGCTACAGTTTGATGAGTTTCAAATCATCAGCAGTTCCCATGATGACACTATTTTGATTTGGGATTTCTTAAATGTGCCTCCCAGTGCCCAGAATGAGACCCGTTCTCCCTCCCGAACATACACTTACATCTCCAGATAACAGTCTGCACTTTTTACCCATTTCAGGTGAGTACTTCCTACACTTTTAATTTTGCTGATTGCGTTCATGTTCCCTTTGGGGGAAATTTTGTGGTTTGGGTTTCTTGGTGATATGATCAGAAGTAGTTAGTTTCTGTTAGGTGTTTCAGCTTTTGCAGAGTTCGAGTATAAGTCTAGATCTTTATACCAGTACCAGTTGTCACAGTTGATTCTGACTCATGGTGACTCCATGGATATAAGTAGAATTGTGTTCCAAAGGAAGTGCCTAATGAACTTAACTACTAACCAGAGGGCTGGAGGTTCTAAACCCACTGGCCATTCCTCGGAGGGAAGGTTGGGCAGTCTACTTCCATAGTGATACTGCCTCAGAAAACCAAGGAGGGGTCACTATGAGATGGGTCTGACTTGATGGCAGTGAGTTTGCTTTTTTTGTTTTGGTGCTCCATAGGGTTTTCAGTGATTGATTATTCAGGAAGTAGACATCCAGGTCTTTCTTTTGAGGTGTCTCTGAGTGGACTCAAACTGCCAAACTTTTACTTTGTGTTAACCATTTTTATCACCCACGGACTCCAAAGATCTTTATAGTCACATCAAAATATGGTCTAAATTGGAATTCTGCATATTGTGGTATTTGACATTGATAGACAACATGATTCCTGTTTTTTAAAAACAGTTTTCCTAAATGGTTTCCCAGGGCATATGAATTTAACATTATTAAATTCTCTGAATTCTGTTTTTGGGTACAGGAATTCTCTTTTTCTTTTCTGTCCTTCAGTTCTTTTATCGAAAAAAGAAAATCTCCACCAAAACACTAAAATTTCACAACTCCCCCCAGAGTCTAGCCACCATCATCATTCGCTCTCTCTCAATGTTGTTATGATTAATAAAATTCATACTTACTTAAACACATTACTTAATTATTAGTGGCTTTTTATCATTCATTTTCCTTTTCATTGAATATTAAAAGTATACAGAGTCTAGCAGAACAATTTTTTTTGTGGGGGAGTGGTGGGGAGATTGGGAACCACTAATACCTAGATTACCAAGTTACTACCTTTCCAGATACTTTTTTTTCAAGATTGTAAAATTCAATAAATAAATCTCCTTCAGGAATTTGTCTTCCAGGAGTTAGCAGCTACAGCCTGTATCCCAAATATGGCCCAATGCCTGACTTTTTTCCCTCTCTCTCTCTCTTTTTGCATTACCCACAACCGAGAATGGTTTTTACATTTTGAAATGGTTGAGGAAAAAAAAAATTATAATAATACTTTGTGACATGTGAAAAGTATATGAAATTCAAATTACAGTGCCCTGAAATAAAGTTTTTTTGATACATAGCCATACTCGCTCATTTACATATTGCCCATGGCTATTTTTGTGCTTCAAAAGCAGAGTGGATTAGTTGTGACAGAGACCATATGGCCCATAACATCTAAAATATTTACTATAATGTCACATAAGAAAACGTTTGCTGACCTCTAGTCTAGTCCCTGCTCCTTGTATTAGTGATAAACCAAGGGTCTGCGTCACGAATGGCAGTAAGTTTCTTCTTAATGTCAACTCAGCTGGATCAGTAGTGACTGGCTAGAGTCTTGCCTTCAGAAAAGTCTGGGACCTAGGTGGACTCCAGAGGAATGAGTGCCTAATGGTTGGCCATGTCTGCCTTGAGTGGGAGGTAAGCTGAAGTGAACCACAAACACCCTTGTCGCCAGTCTCAATCAAGTATGTTCATACTGTGTTTTGTGATGGGAGCCACCTCCCTTGATGCTTTCTTTCTGGATAGTCAGTTGGAAAATCCATATGGCAGAATCATTACATTTATAAAGTCTTAAAATAGGCATTATAGGGAATTACAGAGGAAGAAAGCAAAGATCTATTGAATGATTGCTGTCCCCAGTCTCCACCTCCCAAAAACAGTCTAAGGAAAAATGTATAGAGAAAAGAAACTGGTGTCGCCCTGGTCTTTTCCTCTGTGTCTGGTTATCTTAGCCCTGGCTCTGCCATTCTTCTTTATTGTTTCCCTGTTGCATTCAGGATCAAGACTTAGCTACTTAGACTAGCCAACAGGAGTTTCAGCGTCTACTATGAATCATCTTTCCTTTCTTCTCCCTCTCACCCCTACCCCAGTCTCCATTACTCCTTTCCCAAAATCTGGTGCTCCAACCAACTGAATTGTTTAATTTCCCTAATTACATGTTAGTAGTACAAATTTCCCCTTGCTTGCTGTGGTATAGTAAACTACATAGTGTGGCTTTTCTAGATAAACACCTTTGTAAACTCCGTGGTGGAATTTGCTGTGAGCAACTGAGGAGCTCCTGATTGTTAAAGTTATCCACCTGGGGTATTCCTGTTGGGAGCAGCACAAAGTAATTTTCTGGGAAGTTCACTCTCTCAGGTGTATAGAATTCTGATGTTGGGATTGGTCAGTTTGGTCACTTTGCCAGGCTCAAAAGGAGCCCTCCTAGAAGCAGAAGAAATCTCTCACTGCCAACTGGGAGATGTGAGAGACACATGTTGCTGAGAGAGAGACATGAGAGACATGCATTGCTGAGAGAGAGACATGAGAGACATGCATTGCTGAGAAACAGATGTGAGAGACATTCATTGCTGGGAGAAAGACACTGAGAGACATGCACTGCTGGGAAAGAGACTGAGAGAGACTGTTGGCTGAGAGATGGTGGGCTGAGAGAAACTGAGCATGTTGCTGAACTTGAATTGTAGCCTCTTGCTTCCCTAATGAACCCCATAATCTGTGAGTTGTTTGTGGCCACTGCAGTGAATTATTGAACCCAGCAGAGAGGTAGTAGGTGCTGTGGGAGGAACGGTTGGTGAAAGGGCTGGAGGGAGGTGGCATGTCTGGCCTAGCAGGGATAAGCCTTGGGCTACTGATGGTGATTCTGTCTTCCTCTATTGGGTTTAGAGGAGGTCAGAAGATGCAGCCTCCTTGCCCCTTTAGCACTTGAATTATTAAAGCTATGTAGATACCCTCCCTCCCCTTATTTCATCTGGTTTAATTTGTTCTTTGGTAATGAAATTGTTTGCATGCCTGTCTCCTTCACAAGTTGTAGGAGCTCCCTTTATCATGGAGGTCACTGTTTAGTACCTAGTGTATTATAAGCATTTGTTGATGTTTGTTGGGCAAGTCGTACCCAGGACCAACATAAGTATTTGTGCTCTTCTTCCTAGGCCATACAAGAATTTGCCTGTAAATCAATCAGTGTTTGTGAGATTGTAGTATGTTCATTTAGTCACCTTCATCAAATATAAAGAAAACAACTCAATGAAAAGCTGGAATAAATTCTCTAAACTGGCATAGACTTAGATATATTTGCCTCCCTTTGCCCTGTCTCCTTCACCTGCACTATGCCCTGTTGTTCTTTTGTTAAACTAGTTAGAGATAGGTCATGCACCCTGGTGGTTGATGTTTGTGCCATCAGGTCTATTCCTATTCACCATGTGTTACGGAGTAGAACTGCTATACAGGGTTTTCTGGGCTGTAATCATTACAGAGGCAGATTGCCAGGCCTTTTCTTCCACATGTCACTAGGTAGGTTGAAATTGTCACCCAAGGGCCAGAGGCCTCCCTTTTTTGTTTTTCCCCCAATAAATCAACTATACTGAAGTATGATTTCATAAAATATATTGTTATCATTAAAAGTTTGATGAATTTTTATGAATGTTATATGCACCCCTATAACTACCTCAGTCAAGATACAGAACATTTCTGTCACCTCCAAAAGTTCCCTCATGTTCCTTATTAATCACAGCCCTACCCTAGCCTTTGTAACTACTAACTGCTGTCTAGCACTAGGACTAGTTTACATTTTGTAGAGCTGCACTGTTCAGTATGGTAGTTACTAGCCATATATGGTGGGAGCTCTGGTAGCGTAGTGCCTAAGGCACTTAACTGCTAATCGGAAGGCTGATGGTTCAAACCCACCAGCCACTCCCCAGAAGGAAGGATGGGCAATCTACTTCTGTAGTGATACTGCCTCGGAAACCCAGGGAGGGGTTGCTATGAGTCGGGTCTGACTCAGTGGCACATAACAACAACAAAAGCCGCCATATATGGCTGTTTGAACACTGGAAATGTGATTAGTATAACTGAGGAACTGAATTTTTAATTGTATTTAATTATCATTTATTTATAGTTAAATAACTACATGTGGCTTGTGACTATCATGTTTAGACCAGTATAGTTTTAGAAGTTTTATATTTTGGGTTTTTAGATCTTTGCTCTATTTAGAATTACTTTTTGTATATGGTGTGAGGTAAGAGTCAATGTTCTTGTTTTTTCTATAGCAATCCAGTTGTTCCAGCACTATTTGTCAAAAGAACTCTTGCTAAATTGCTCTATCACCTTTGTCAAAAAATAATTAATCATTTATATGTAGGTCTCTTTATGAACTCTTTCATGATCTATATGGCTGTTCTTTCACCAATATCACACTATCTTGAATTGTATTAGCTCTGTAATAAGTCTTGAATTAAGATATCTTTTTTCTTTTTAAAAATGGCTTTGACTATTCTTGGTCATTTAGATTTTCATACTCCTTTTTGAATTAGGTTTTCTTAGTCTGTAAGGATGGATGATTCTTGGAATTGTGATTGGGACTACATTGAATTTAAAGATCATTTTGGGGAAAAGTTCTGTCTTAAAATATGTTGAGGCATCCAATCCATAAACATGGTTTATCCCTTTATTGTTTAGGTCTTCTTCAGTTTCTGTTAGCGGTATTTCACATTTTTAATGTAGAAGTCTTATACATCTTTTGTTAACTTTATTCCATTCTTTTTCTTTTCTAATAGAAACTTTTAAAGCTATCCATTTCCCACTGTATATTCCTTTAGCTGCATCTCACTCATGCTTTGTTTTTCCATGTAAGAGAAGCACTTAAAATAGAACATAGACCACTACAGCTGTAGCTGGACTTCTGGAATGAGTAGACTTGGGTGGTTAGGTGTTTATGGATGACTTAAATATACTTCTTTTGTATTTTTGATATGCATCTGTGGTGTTATTCTCTGTTTAAAGAGGCTTATGGTTAAAACTTGAGACATCCATAATATTTTTTTCCTTGCATATTTAGTAGATGAATTGTTGTTGTTGTTGTTGTTATGTGCCGTCGAGTCGGCCCCGACTCATAGCGACCCCTCCTTGGGTTTCCGAGGCAGTATCACCACGGAAGTAGGATTGCCCAACCTTCCTTCCGAGGAGTGGCTGGTGGGTTTGAACTGCTAGCCTTCTGGTTAGCAGTCAAGGGCTTTTAGCCACTATGCTACCAGAGCTCCTAGTAGATGAATTAGGACAGAGTAAACTTTCACAGATTAAGCTTTTTTTTTTTTTTTAGATTTTTACTGTGATTTGGGTGAAAGTTTACAGAGCAAATTCATTTTCCATACAGCAGTTCACATACACTTTGTCTCATGACATTGACTGCAATTTCCTATCATGTAATAGCTCTCCTCCCATTTCCTCTCCATAGTTACTTCTTCCCTCTGTCCTTCCCTCTCCTGCACTCCTGCCCCCCGAGCTGTGCATATACAGCCCTTCTGTTCTCCATGATTGATCTCTCCAAGGAGTGTATCTCCCCAATGTAAATGTTCAGCTCATATGCCCATATTTTGTTTGGCTGGAAGCCACAGAAGTGGGTTCAATTCCAGACCTGAGGGGCAGCTAGGGGCCATAGTCTCAGTGGTTCTCTCAGGCTCTATCAGACCAGCAAACCTGGTCCCCCTTTTTTTTTTTTTAATTTTGAGTTTTGCTCCACATTGTTCTCCTACTCTATCCAGGATCTCCTACAGAGATCCCCCTCCGAGTGGTTGACAGCGGTAGCCAGGCACCATCTAGTTCTTCTGGTCTCATAGTCATATAGGCTGAGGATCGCACGGTGTACCAATACTTGGACTAATTGTTTCCATGCGTCTTTGATTTTCTTCATTCTTCTTTGCTCTGGATGAGGAGAGACCCATCGTTACATCTAGATGTCTGCTTGCAAGCTTTCAAGATCCCAGTCGCTACTCACCAAAGTAGGAGGTGGAACAATGTTTTTGTGTAGTAAGTTACACAATCGAGCTTGAAGTCCCCTGCGACCATGGTCACATGTTAATAAATCAGCAATTTTTATATTACCTAAAAGTGCCCTGAAACACGATTCCTTTGGTTCAGAGATACAAATAAAGATTACCAATGCCATTTCTCTCAATGGCTGTGATGGAAATAGAACTGTGGGCTTTCCCTCCCACTCCCTTTTCGGGAGCCTGTGAACTGCTGCCTTGTTATGATGCACAATTATAATTCAACAGAAAAATGTTATCTACTTTTTAAGGTAGTGGCTCCCTGTATTGATCACAGAACAAAGCAGTGAAACCCCAAATATATTTCTCTTCAAAGTGAATTACTTTTGACAACCTTGGCAGTCAACTTTATGGATTTTATTGCTCCTTTCAAAATTCTTTTCTTTTATTGTAACATGAAAAAAATTATTACCATGTGATATTGTAAGATATTTGCATAAAAAGAAAAACTACCTTAATGATAATTTAACCTTGTAAAATACTCACCCCAAAATACCTGGAACGCTGGCAATAGATTTATTTGCCAAGTTTTTTTTCCCCCCAAAAGTTTTACTAACTTCTAAAATAGAGGGTCAGCAAAAAAAGAGGATGACCTCAACAAGATGCATTGACACCATGGCTGCAGCAGTGGGCTCAGACATAGCAATGATTGTAAGGATGTCACAGGACTGGGCAGTGTTTTGTTCTGTTGTATATAGGAGCACTATGAGTCTGAACCTACTCAAAAACACCTAATAATGACAACTTCTAAGAACTATATATATAGTAGGTCAAAATTTCTTATTCTTTTTTAATTTCCATTATTACAGAACATCATTCAGTATAATAAGCAGTAAAAAAAAGATATCTGAGAAACAACAACAACTCACTGCCATCAAGTTGGATCCAACTCATAGCGACCCCTCCTTGGGTTTCCAAGGTGGTATCACTACGGAAGTAGATTGCCCAGTCTTCCTTCTGAGGAGTGGCTGGTGGGTTTAAACCGCTAGCCTTCTGGTTAGCAGTCAGCTGGCTTAGGCATTGTGCCACCAGAGCTCCTTTAGATGAGAAAAGGAAGAAAATAAACTTCTACTCATGGTTCATCACTGTTGATTCTTTTTTGTTTTTATCCTTTTAGGCATTTTAAAATGATGGTTTGTAACTGTATATGTTGTTTTTAAAATCTTTTTCCCTCTTTATTGTGAAATTGCTACACGTCATAAATGTCAGTAATTGTTTATCTAAATTATCATTCCTAATGGCCAGACAGTATTTTGTTATTTGGATATGCTCTATTGTTAGATATTTTTCTTCCCTCCAGTTTTTAGCTATTGTCAAAACCTGTGTCATGGTCATTCTTTTAGATTAGTTTTTGTCCAGCATTTTATCATCATTGATAGAATTTTAGAAATATCTGGAATATCTGGGCTAAAGGTCTTATATGTAAAGACTTTTGATGCATAGAGTCATGTTACCTTCCAAAAAAGTTAAATCCGTTTATACTCCTACTGGCAGTGGTTTCGTACCCATTTCTGTTCTCTGGGTATTTGTATTTTCAAAATAATTTCCATATTGTTAAATATCCTTAATGGGAGAACAGTGTGTGATTTAATCTTTCTTAAGTTTACTGAGAAGGCTTGTTAGGATTCTTGATCTTTATGAAAATTGACAGTCCTTTAGGAAAGACGCCTTTAAAAAATATAAGCTACACCCTCCCCCCCCCCTTTTTTTTTTTGGATAGCGTAGTACCTAAAGTCACTTGACTGCTAACTAGAAGGCTGGTGGTTCAAATTCACCAGCCACTCCTCAGAAGGAAGGTTGGGCAATCTACTTCCATAGTGATACTGCCTCGGAAACCCAAGGAGGGGTTGCCATGAGTCAGGTCCTACTTGACAGCACATAACAACAACAACAACATAGAATTTTAGACCTAAAGGTGACTTAGATCATCTAGGCCCATGGTTCAGTGCAGTATTTGAAAAGGGTTGTTACCCATTTGTGACTGTGACATCATTTTAATGGATGTTAACTCTGTTTGGTTGAAATTTAGAATAGAAAATAACCAGCCTGCATTGTACATAGTAATATAGTCTCATGGATGTTCTGTTTTAGATGTGTGCATATGTGTGTAAACATAGCTACATAAATGGATTAATGTAGAGATAGTGATTAAAATGTGTTTTTGATTCAAGGCTGTGGTAAAAAAAAATATGGAATGTTCAGTGATCTCCCCTACACTGTGTTGTTCTATTATATATAATTTATTTAAAGTAATTTCTGATTATTACTATTTAATTTAGAAGGAATAATTTATTTAGAGCTTTGCATATTTTTGTTTCACAGTGATGGATGAAGGCTCTGGGGAGGATATGAGACAGGTCCGTTGTAGGCTTTGACTGTCATGGAGGAGTATGTTAAATATTAAAGCTAATATTAAGCATATTTTGTTATATGCATACTTACTAGCAGCAGCACTGAAAGATGATAGGCTATCAGGTCAGACCTCTCTGAATTATCGCCCTGTCACTTACTGGCTGACACTTTGAATTAAACACATGACCTTTCCCTAGTTCTCCTATTTGTGCCATGGGCATGATAATAGTTTCTGCCTTATAAGGTTACTGTGAGGTTTAAATAAATATGATGCCTGGTATGTAGTGTGCAAAACACATTGCTCTTCTGTTTCTGATACTGATTACTTAAAAATTGGTCATCTGTCATATTTGCACATTTATGGTAGTCTGCAGATATGGCAGTGGTGTGGTGTATATGTACCAATGTCTGACTATCCACATCTCCTTTTTTTTTTTTTTTCTTTCAGGGTTTCCTAGTCTTGAACTACTGGCTACATGGCTACCAGATGCCTAAGAGAGTTCATTCGCAGCTGAGTTATGATGCTGGAATTGGTTCTAGATGGGTAGATGCAAAGCAGCCTAACTCTTCAAGTACCAACATTTCTCACCTCCAATTCCCAGCCTCTACTTTGAGAAAAATACCTTAGTTCACTGACTTCAAGTAGAACAGAAAGCCCATTTTCCTTTCCCCATCAATGAAAAAAATCTAATGCTTCAAATGTAAATTGTTCATTTAAAAGGAACATACAGTCTGTTTTACAGAAGTAGATCAGCCATCAAGAGAAGACTTGGCCTCTAATTTATATTGCTTTGCACTTTGGTCTGATATTAAGGAACAGCATTCTTCTTCAGTGAAATTTTGGGTGCCAAACACCAACCCAGAATGTCCAGGGTTTTCCTTTTTAGAAGTCAGCATTCTCCTTCTGACTGTCCAAGTCATTATGAATTCTGACTTGTATTGGAGTATGTTGGACAACGGAGAAATCTCTCTGGATTGTTTTAGTAATATTTTTTGGATTACACTTTCTTTCTGAACCAATTTCTTTTAATTTAAAGAACTATAAGCCAGGTTATATTACCTTCCAACAGGTAATATAGCTCCTTTCTTTTAACTGTTCTCTGTACCATCTCCTGATATTTGGTAGAATAACACCTTTACATGTGTGCTTGCCTCCTAATTTAAAATACTGTACCCGCATGTAGATATAATGTACATAACAGTTTAACCTCAAGGTTGCTGGAGTCAGGGCCCCCTGTGCCTGAGACACTAATACAGAGTGTGTTCGCACTTAGCCATGGGCTGGGCTTGATAACCTGATACCAGGGTTGATGTGGATTACCTTGAACCCTTCCTGCAGTATTCATATGGTGTTTTATTTTGTTGATGTCATTGTGTGTATGTTTAATGGGAATCTTGTTTTAAAATGTAATTTCTAAAGTTTAACACAAAATTAAAATGTTTTATTTGTTGTGCAGTATATACAATAGAGAGGTACCTTTAAAAATTTTTTTGGGGGGACTTGTTCTTTTCCTCATAAGTATTTTGAGTCCTAGTGGTCACTTACTGTAGTATTCATTTGGCTTCACTGTCAGCAATCATTATTCTGTGTGTTAGTAACCCTGGGAGGGACAGAACAAGAAGGCCATGTTGACTGGGTGTTCCTAGCTCTAGAGTCACTCTATCTTGGCCACCCTGCAGAAACTACAGGCTGAATCTGGTCACGGTTCAGTAGGGCTTACTTGTGTGTTTGAGCCTATCTACTAGGACATTCTGATTCAGAGGCCTATCTTGGAGAGAAGGTACTGCTAAGTGGTGACAAAACCTCAAGCTCATGAATCCCATCCCAGTCATCTCTAGTGTCACCTAGCTGTGGCCCTGGCAGGTTCTCTGAGCCCCCGAGTGCTCTGCACCCCAGACACTATCACACTGACCATGCATGGAAAGTGCCCTGGTGTCCAGTTGGTACTCTTCTTGCCTCATTCAATATTAGGTTTTGATTTGCCCTTTGCGTTGTTTCCAAAGATTAAGGAATGTCAGTAACATTTTAAAGGACCAATAAGCCACCTCTTGTTAATTAAACCTTTTCCCGTGGAAGCACACTTGTACCACTGAGGGGAAGGTCACTGGGTTCTGTTTGCCCTTTGCATTGAGAACAGTGTGGGGATCAATGTGTGCGTATGTGATTTTTTTTTTTTTTTTTTTTGGGTTAACAACTGCTTTTTTGCCCCCCCCCCTTTTTTTTAAATAATCCTTCTCTCCCATATGTTACTAAATTAATTTCTGTTTTTGAGAGGTTGAGTCTCAAAGTGTCAAAAAACAAACCTCTGTTCACAAGGTGGATGTTGTAAGCTTGACAGTGGCTGTGAAAGTGATTGAGCTTTTCCCACTCTTTATCTTACAGCTTTCATATCAAACTGGTTAGGAAAGCCCAGGGGAGGGGCGGGGGGAGGAAAGAAGCAGTTCTTCTGAAAGACTAAATTTTCTGTTGTTGTTTTTGCATGTTTAATATAGAAGTTCCTCTTGTTCCTTGGGAGATCATGGCCTTGGAATATGCACACAACCTTTGAATTGTGCCTACTAGATTAGAGCAGGAGACTTTGACACCAAGGAATTCTGACGTTCTGGAATTATAGTAGTAATTCCCAGCCGTACTCTGGACTTTATTTTGCTAACCATAATTGAGCAACTGTAAATTACTGCTATATTAATGTTTTAAAGCACTGGGATAGTCTAATTCTAACTTGTAATTAATTATGTTTGCCAATTATCTGTTTGAAATAAATTTGTGTCTGAACAGCTATTGAAACTGTTAAATTGTACAGATATTATACATGACAGCTTTGTACTGTGGAATGTGCTTAATAAAAAACAAAAAGTTTGACCTTTGTCCAATAAATTGCTAAGTAATGTCAATGAATCAAGTATGAGTATTATGCAGTACACCTAATCTGGCTTCATGCAGTTGTTGCTTCAGCTACTAATTCAAAGCCAATACTCTTAATAAAGTGTTGCAATACTCTGATGTTCTGTTAAGAAATTTTTCAGAAAACCTGTTACGTGCTATTATTCATTCAGTGACATATGATTAAAGTTTATAGTTTTTTTTGTTGTTGTTGTTTTTGTAAGAATGTATGCTTTGTAAAAGGAAGTTGAAGGCAAACTGCCTTTGGCCTGTGAGAACTGTGTATAAGCCGATGTGATTTTGTGCCTTGAGGTCTTTTACTGAAAGCTGACTTTAAACACAGGAATTGGGATTTTTCATAACCCTTGCCCAGTGGAGCTGCTTCCCATGCATACTTAATTGCTTTACAAGTTACTTGTAAGAATATGAAAGGGCTCCTTAAACGTCCCAAGTGGTGACCAAGTGTGAGTGGAAATGGCTTTGGACCCTCTTGTCTTGAAGGATGGTGGAGCTGTGAGGAGTGCCTTTTCCACCTTATGCACCAAACATGAGTTTGTCCATTTTTTCATGTGTGCAAATGCGCACACATCACTGGTTGGGTACTGAAGCAGAAACAGGTACAATTTCTATCTGCAGGATATTATGAGAAGATGTTCTGAGTGGTAGCTAAGTTTTCCACGTTATGGCATTTTCCCCATTAGTTAATGGCCAAATTGTTAATGTGGGCATTTTGAATGAAATTAGAGAATTTCTATATATTATTGCTT